GGCTCAGCTGGCTCTCGGCAGCACGGTGCCCGAGGTGGGGGCTCCTCTGGGGGCTTCTCCATCTCTGGGGCCCTGAGCCCCCCAGGGCCGTGTCTCCCTGTTCCCCTGAGGGGGTTGGGGCCACAGGAAGTGAGGCAGTGCCCGGGGGACTCCAGGCCCTTTGACTGCCATGATCTCCCCTGCTGGGTCCCCGCTGTGCTAGGGACCTGCCGGGAGTGGCTGCCACCGAGGAGACGGGGGCGCCCCTGGTGCTCATCGACACGGCCGGCTGCGGGCTGTGCGAACTGGACGGGGAGGAGGAGCAGTCAAGAGGGAACCCAGGTAGGCTGCTTGGAAGGGGCTGCTTTCCTGACACTGACCCAGGCTCCCCGCTGAGACCAGAAGCCCCTGTGAAGCCCGGCTCAGAGGAGCAGGCTCAGAGCTGTTCCTGGTGAGTGAGGAGCCTTTGGTTTTGCGACGCTTGTCTGTTTCACTTTGAGAAAATCCACATGGCAGCCTCCAGCAGCGATTCGGGACGGTCCAACAGGGACCTCCTCCTCGCAGCCTCGGGGTGTCCATCACCTGCACGAGGCAGGAAGTGCTTATTTAGCCTGCGGGCCGGGCCGGGCCGGGCCGGGCCGGGCCCACTTAGCAGCTTGCTGACCAAGTTCAGGGTCTAAGGAGCCCTGGAGGCTAAGCGGTTAACCCAAAAGGTCAGTGGTTTGAACCCACTAGCTGCTCCCTGGGGCAGGATGTGGCAGTCTGCTTCCACAAAGGTTATAGTCTGGGAAACCCCACAGGGCAGTCCTACCCTGGCCTGTCAGGTCTCTGGGAGTCGGAATCAGCTTGACAGCACAGGTTGTCTGTGGTGTCGGATCCTTGGCGGCCTGGAGCTAGGTGGCATTGCTGACCGGGTTTTGAAGCGGATGCCTGAGGAGGTCGGGCCCTTGCCGTCTCACCAAGGAGCAGGCAGACCAGTGGAGGAAGGCCCGCAGGCCCGCACCACCTGGTCACTCTCCCAGTGAGCGTACTCGGGTTACAGCCCCAGGCTCCTGGATCCTGCTGATCGGGTTACAGACCAAACAGGAGGCGTGGACGCACAGAGTTCATTGCTCACGCGTCACGCGTCACGCGTCACGTCACGTGGAGTTGGGGCGTGGCGGTGCCGGGGTGTCTCCAGATGACCCCTCCCGTGGCTCCGCTGCAGGACCTCGCCCAGACTCTGGGCCCCGGGAGGAATCAGTGGATCCTGGGAGCAGGCCGGTGCCCCAGCTGCGTGCTGACCAAGGGTGGGGTCTGCTCAAAGCGTGTCTTGTCACCCCTCCAGGTGAGGTCCGCCTTGTCAGCCTGCACGTCCAGGCCCTGGTGGACGCCGGTGTCCCCGCCCGTGACATTGCCGTCATCACACCCTACAACCTCCAGGTGAGCTTGGCTCTGTGTCGTCGCCCACCGTGTCGGGTGGGACTCAATCCCACGTGGCTAAAGGGAAGGGAACCTACTAGCTCTCGTGACCATGGAGACCAGGGCTCAAGGGGTGCCAGCAGGCCCGTCTGGTCCGTCAGTCTGTCTGCCTGCCCCTCCTGCCTTCAGCCTGGTCCCCCATGTCCCTACCAGCTTCCCCAAGGGCCTGACAACCCCAGGTGTCCCCTTGGTGGCGGTCCCCATGGTGGTGGTCCCCACAGTGGCGGTCCTGCAGGAAGGGCTGGCGTGTTGGCAGCATGTCTCACTAGAGTCTCAGCTGTGACTCTGGTTGGACCGGGCCCCCTCTTCTGAGCGACCTCCCACTAGCCACCCCTCCCCATCCATCCCCACCCGAGTGATGCTGCCAGTTGCTGTGGCCTGGTGGGGTCAGAGTGGCTCTGCTCCGGTGGAACCCACAGCCAGTGGCAGGAGCAGGTTCTCCAAGGAAAGTCAGGTGTGACCTACCGGGTTCAGTGGCGGTGCAGTGGTACGGTTGTCCCCTCCCACGCGGGTGACCTCCGCTCACTTTCTGGCCACTGCACGTCATACACAGCCGTCAGGGGCAGCTTGGGGCTGCTGGATGCTGACCAGGTTTTAGCAAGCTCGCAGACTACAGCTGGGAAGGCAGCCTGGGAATGACTTCTGAAAATCAGCCAGCGGCAACCCCATGGATCCCCGCAGTCCCGTCCCGCTGTGCGTGGGTTACCAGGAATTGGGGCCCAACTCAGTGGCAGCCACAGCTGGTGGAGACCAAGGGGAGCAGGGGTGTGGACAGGCCGACAGCAGCTGTCTCTCCCCTCCCGGCTCAGCTCCCAGGGTCCGTGAGCTTCAGGGGGAGCACATGCCCTCAGGTGGGACAGACACCCCTGATGTCCTGCCAGGTCGGCAGGTGTCCAGCATAGCACGGAGGGTGAGCTCAAGCCCGGCAGCATCAAGTCAGGAGACACGGCCAGTTCCTGCGGTGGCCCACGTCACCACGTCCACGTGTGGTTTGTCCGCGTTGACGTGTGTGCCTGTGAGCAGGGCATCATCTTCTGGACCTGTCTGTGGGCGGCTCCTATAGGTCTCCCCTGGGGAAGGGCAGGGCCAGGGTGGGGCCTCACTGCCATCGTGCCCGGGCCGTGTGGTGAAGCCACCATGGGGCCGGGCCATGTGGCCTCTTCACTGTTGGGCCCAGGGCGTGCGGCCTCCCTGCCACGTGCTGGGGCGTGTGGCCTTACCTGAGGTTAGGCTGGGCATGTAGCGTAACCCCGTGTGCCCAGGTGTGTGGCCTTACTGCTTGTCAGGCAGGGGCGTGTGGCCTCCCCACCATGTGCTGGGGTGTGCAGCCTCCCTGCCGTGTGCTGCGGTGTGCGGCCTCAGCGCTGTCAGGCTGGGGCGTGTGGCCTCAGTGCTGTCAGGCTGGGGTGTGCAGCCTCACCTCTGTCAGGCTGGGGCGTGCGGCCTCACTGTCAGGCTGGGGCGTGTGGCCTCACCACTGTCAGGATGGGGTGTGCGGCCTCAGTGCTGTCAGGCTGGGGCGTGCGGCCTCACTGTCAGGCTGGGGCGTGTGGCCTCACCACTGTCAGGATGGGGCGTGCGGCCTCAGTGCTGTCAGGCTGGGGCGTGCGGCCTCACTGTCAGGCTGGGGCGTGCGGCCTCACTGTCAGGCTGGGGTGTGTGGCCTCACCACTGTCAGGATGGGGCGTGCGGCCTCACCGCTGTCAGGCTGGGGCGTGCGGCCTCACTGTCAGGATGGGGTGTGCGGCCTCACTGTCAGGATGGGGCGTGCGGCCTCAGTGCTGTCAGGCTGGGGCGTGCGGCCTCACTGTCAGGATGGGGCGTGCGGCCTCACCGCTGTCAGGCTGGGGTGTGTGGCCTCACTGTCAGGATGGGGTGTGTGGCCTCACTGTCAGGATGGGGCGTGCGGCCTCACCGCTGTCAGGCTGGGGTGTGCGGCCTCACTGTCAGGATGGGGTGTGCGGCCTCAGTGCTGTCAGGATGGGGTGTGTGGCCTCACCGCTGTCAGGCTGGGGCGTGTGGCCTCACTGTCAGGATGGGGCGTGCGGCCTCACTGTCAGGCTGGGGCATGTGGCCTCACCACTGTCAGGTTGAGGCTGTGGCCTCCCTGCCGTGTGCGATGGTGTGTGGTGAAGCCACATCTGACCTGGTCTTTCAGGTGGAGCTGCTCCGGCAGAGCCTGGCCCACAGGTACCCTGAGCTGGAAGTGAGGTCCGTCGATGGTTTCCAGGGTCGGGAGAAGGAGGCCGTGATCCTGTCCTTTGTCAGATCCAACAGGAAAGGTGGGTGGCTTCCGTGATGTCTTTGGAGACTGTCCAGGAAGGTGTTCTCATAGAGGGCAGGGAGTCCCTGGGTGGCACACAGTTAAGTGCTTGACAAGCCCAAAGGTTGGTGGTTCAAACCTGCCCAGGGGTGCCTGGGAAGAAAGCCTGAAGAGCTCCTTCTGAAAGGTCCCCACCTTGGGCCGCCCGTGGAGCAGCTCTGCTCACACACTGTGGTCTGGGGGTTGAGGTCGACAGCTAGTACCAGCCGTGACGGTTCACCCGTGGGTGCCATGCCGGCTGCTGGGACCGTTGTGGGTCCTCTACTCACTTGCCGTCGGGCAGATGCAGCCGGGGTGGCAGCTAGCAGGACTCGCTGCCTGGTGGAAGGCACGCCAGGACCTCGTGGGCAGGTGGGGCGGGGCCAGCGGCTGAGGGGCGTGGGGTGGTATAAGCAGTGTGAGCAGGTGAGCTGGGTGCCAGGTGGGGAAGGTTGTTCCTAGCATAGTGCGCAGAGACAGGCACCCAGGAGGTGGTGGGTGTGGCGGGACGGAGGTGGGCTGGGAAGGGCCATGACACCAACCAGGGGCACGGGGCTGCCTCCCTAGTGTCAGCCTCGAGGGCTGGTTTCCACAGTGCTCTGGTTCAGGGGGAAATTGTGCCCCGTGGTGTTTACTTCCTTGGCTTGTGGGGAGCGTTCAGTGGAGGGGAAATGGCCCGAGAGGCAGGCTGACTGGTGGGAAAGAATGGCAGAGTTCTGGAGTGTCTCCGCGTGCACTGCTGTGCAGGCCCCAGGCTGTCTCCTCAGTTTGGGCTTTGGAAGGAGGGTTCGTACTTCTCGGGGCTCAGGAACGGTGTGGCAGCTGCTGAGACCCAAATCAGAAACAATGAACTATACTCGACACACAGCGGGAGTGACATGCATGTGTGCGTGTGTGTGTGTGAGAGAGAGAGAGAGAGACTGGATGTGGTGGAGGGAGTTTGGTGGTGGCGGAGGCCAAGGGCAGGAGCAGCGCACAGCAGGGACCTAGGTGGGCTGACAGTGTACAGATGCGGTGCCCATCAGGCCTGGTTCTGGTGAAACGTCTGAGCAGCACCACGTGGCCTGGGACCTACTCCTCAGCTCACCTGTGGCGCTCTCTCAGGTGAAGTGGGCTTTCTTGCTGAAGACCGGCGCATCAACGTGGCGGTCACCCGGGCACGGCGCCACGTGGCAGTCGTCTGTGACTCACACACCGTCACCAACCATGCCTTCCTGAAGACCCTGGTGGGCTACTTCATGGAGCACGGGGAGGTGCACACGGCCTTTGAGTACCTCGACGACATCGTGCCTGAGAACTACCCCCATGGAGGCTCGCAGGGCCCCAGCAGCACGACGGCCCAGGGTGCCCCGGCCAGGAGGAGGCCCCCGGGCAGCGGGCAGCAGACGGGCGGCCGGGGGCCCCGAGCTGCCAGACCAGAGCGGAAGAAGCCAGACACTAAGCCTTTGGGCTCTGAAGCCCCCTCTCAGCTCAGCCGCAATGGGGGTGGCCCGGGAGCGGCAGAGGGAGGAGGCGTCTCAGACCACTTCCGGGCCACAATCTCTGCATTTGTGGTGAGCGAGGAGACACGGCTGGAGTTTCCTGCCTCCCTGAGTGCCCGCGACAGGATGTGGGTCCACCAGCTCGCCGCGGAGCTGGGGCTGCGGCACAGCAGCACCGGGGAGGGCCCAGGGCGGCGCGTGACCGTGAGCAAGAACACCGGCCCGGGCCTGTCACCCCCCAGCCCCGCACAGGCCGACCTTCCGCCCAGGTCATCACAGGCTGAGGGCCCCCCCAGCCCCACGCGGGCGGAACATCCCCCCAGTGAGCCGAGCAGCCGTAGCGGTCGTGCTGGGAACCCGCTGGACCTGAAGGCGCTGCACCTGGAACGGCTGCAGAGGGAGGCGGGTCGGCGGGAGCAGCTGGCCAAGGGGGCGCAGCCGGGCGCGGGGACTCGAAGGCCGTCGGAAAAGAAAAAACGGAGACAGGCCAAAGGTGAGTGCGTCCCCTGCCAGGGCCTCGGTCCGCGTGACCCAGACTATGGGGTCAGCCACACTTGGATCTCACCTGCCACCCTCAGGGCGTCGGGTGCACCCCCCGAGTCTGCAGCTCGCCCCTTCCTAGTATCCGTGTGGGGGGACACTTGGGCTGGTGGTGGTACCCGCCGTGCCCGGCGGCCGGCCGTCAGTCATGCTCTGGGTGGCTTCGCCTTCCTGAGCACTTGTGTTCTTCCCGTAGGACACACGGCGCCAGCTTTGCCCGAAGACGAGGACTTTGACGCCCTGGTTTCTGCTGCCGTTAAGGCTGACAACACCTGTGGCTTTGCCAAGTGCACGGCCAGCGTCGTGACCCTGGGCCAGCTCTGCCCGCACTGCAGCCGCCGGTACTGCCTGAGCCACCACCTGCCCGAGGTACGTGGCCAGCTCGCTGGGCCCCCTGTGTCCGAGGCGGGGGAGAAGCAGACACATCAGCCTCAGACACTTTCTGGGGGTGGCGTCCCCTCCCAGGTCGAGGAAGCAGGAGGGCGGCTGGCCCCGGCCTACCTAGAAGGGGTGCAGGCCCCAATCGCCCCCTCCCTCCCCCTCTTTTCCTCCCC